ACTTTCATTATCGCTGTGCCAGAAGCTATGACGTACGGATATGAAACGTGGTCACTGACGAAAGCAGAAGAGCGAAAAAGCGACTAAGCAAAGGAAGTTTGACCGCCATCATATAAAAACCAAGGGAGTACACTAAGTTTCTATTCTGGTCAGAAGACGAATACGCTGCCTATTTGATAAGAAACAAATGGGCATTAGGTATTATGCATTACTAACTAGTAGCACTCACAAAATAATCACTTTAGTGCCACTGTCGAAGATAATTAAAACCACAAAAACTCCAAAAAAGATGATCAAAAACCATTCTACTGCAATATCAAAGGTATCAGATATGGCAGCAGTCCCCTAGGACTGTTCGAATCATCGAAACGAATGAACGAATCGTAGTAGGATTGGTTGCATCGACCAACTCGATTCTCGACCCTCCTCCGCATGACTATGGTGTTACTTCCTCTATATATCATGCTCACTAGTTTTAAAATCAATGAATTTTTTTTTAAAAAGAAAAATCAATGCATTTCTATTTCATCAGTTATTCATAAAATGCCTTTCATGTGAAACTCACATTATTCAAGTTTACACATTGCTATAAAAGCTTGCATGATTATGACTCATCGATATCGAGTTTTTCGGAGGTTTGTTGAAATAAACTCAAACACATCAAGTGCAGCAGCTGTACCAGGCACAATCCATCCTTAGCTGCCGCAGCAGTATGCCTTCAGTTTAGTCAACACAAACTTCTCAACAATGTATGCATGTTAATTTTTTGAAAACTACAGCCCAAACTTCATTTCCCTGACAAAAATTCGGCAAAATATCTCAGGTGGTGATGCTCAAAACATGCAAAAAACATTCAAAAATAGCTAAAGCTATGTCAAAGATTCCTGTCGGGAGAATCACTGAGCTAGCAACCTGTTTAGGAGACGAAAGAATTTGTCAAGACCCTAACAGAGTAACCATCGCGTGATGCAAAACTGCTTAAAATGGAAAATTGTTAGCTGCATAACCGGAAAAATCAATTTATGAGGGGTGGCTCATTCAAGACATCCAGCAGTGACAGAGATATTATGACGTTTATAAAAATATAAAACTATATTAAACTATATATACTATATAAGTTATGCTAAAAATAAATTCAGACCCACTTCCTAAAAAATTCACTTCAGAATTCATCCTGCTGAGAAGCCGTTCAAATGCGGTCACTGAATTCGGGTTTCGGCCAGAAAGCAAACTTGCGAACATACAGACTTAATGAATCGAAACGTCTTATCTCATTCTAACTTCTTAA